CTCACAGCCTGGGACTCCCATTCCGCATCTGCATGTGGGGACTCAAGATAGAGTGACCCCCTCTCGCTGCGAGTCTCCTGACCCCCTGGTTTAAGCCGGCTGCTCACCCTTCTTCTTTCACAGCGTGCATCCGCCATTTGTAATTTCCACATAGACGTGTGTGTGTTTGATTACTATCTGTCTCCTCAGGGTAGGAGTGGGACCAGGGCTCAGTGAGTATGTAGCCATCCTGCCATAGCTCCCCAGGGCCCCACGGGGTACTCCATGGTGTGCCCCCCACGTGATATGCGATGGATGGTGTGTGCTGAATGGAGAAATGGATGAGAGGGCACATGGCACTCGATGGTGCACTCAGTGGAGAAATGAAAGAACTGCTGGAAGATGGGCTGACCATCTTGGAGGGAGAGACTGGAACTTGAGTTTCTCCAATACCAGTTACAGTGATTATATATATATATATATATATAAAATACAACCGAAGCTTTTTTTTGGCTCACGTAGATTTTAATGTAATTGAAATGGATGCGTTAAATTTTTTTTCCCTTTTGCATAATTGGCTCTTTAGACTTGATATGTAACAAACTATTAAGTAAGTTAACACTCTTTTTCACACTCTCAGCTGCTAAACTCTGGGAACTTGATGCTTCTCATGAGCACAGGAAAAGAGAGCCCTGTGTTTGCAGCCCCCTCCCCACCTCCTCAAACATCCTCCCATCATCTCTCTAGACAATCCTCCAGATCGCAGCTCTAGGCGCGTTTCCCTCAGCACCGAGACTGGCTCTCCACACCCGCTTCCTTGCCCCTTCGCCTGGGAAACTGCCCGTTCCCTGGGCAGCCCAGCCCAGCCAATGGGCCGGCAATGAGCTGGGGCAGGTGGCTTACGAAGCACATATTGAGATGCACCTTTTAGCTGATTACATGGAAAGACTCTCCACACACTCATGGCCACAGAGCCATGAGTCATTTGTTTATCTAGCCAGCTGGACGAGGAGGAGAGTGATGGAGAGGAGAGAAGGGAGAAAGGAGGAAAGGGAGTGAAGGCACAATTCCAGCCCCTTGGAGAGGAAGATCTGTCCTCAGAACAGCTCAGGGATATAGGTGCCCCTGTAGTCCCGTTAGAGGTGACAGGCACAGAGCTGTGACAACTAGCTCAAGGTCCCACCGCTAGAGGGAAGCTGGCTCTGAGGTTATGCTCTTAGGGCCGGAGGGCGCTGTCCACGCTGCCGGTGCTGATCTCCCCGTGGGCCTCCCTGCAGGAGGGAAGGAGGGAGCTCACTGTGTGACAGCACATAGCCTGGGTCTCGGGGCTGGTAACAGGGTGTACCCCCTGTTCGTGTAACAGCTCATTTACCCCCCACAACAACCTTACGTCGCAGGGGCGACTTTCCTTCATCAGGCGGATGAGACATCGGAGGCAGAAGAGGTTAAGTCCTCCTCAGTCCAAGGAAACAGGGTGTGAAATAGCAGAGCTGGGCTCGGAACCCACCCATTCTGTCTCCAGGGCCGCCACTCACAGCCCCGGCGGCCTCGGCTTCGGCTCTGAGAGAGGCTCTGGAAGGCCTGGGACCAGGTCCAACCCAAGGGTTATCAATCTGGCTCCACTTTTGGGAGCTTGCACTTCCACACTTGGCCACGAGGGGGTGCGTGCGCAATAGCTGTGGCTTTAGGAGCTGCAGGGACCCTGCGGGCTCTTTTCCTGGGGAAGGAAGGGGGTGTGTGTGCCTCGAAGACTTGGGGTTTCCACCCGCCAAATAGTGTGAGGAGGGGACAGACGTGTAGGGTGCATGGGTGCAGACAGGCAGGTGTCTTGAGGAAGGTGAGTGACCGGCCTGCAGGGTCCGATGTCACCCAGACGTGGGCATGGGTGGAGTGTGCCGCGTGTGCCATGGCCTCATTACTGCCTTATGGTCGCTCAGGTGTCTGAGCAGCAGTGTCTTCACCTCTCAGAACCAGTGGCCTGGGACCCAGCTGATCAGGACGGTCCCTTCCAGCGGCGTTTCCCGGAAGGCAGGAGGTTTGGGGAGGCGGTTGAGTGAATAGAAGAGGACCACGGACAGCCCCCTGGTCCTGCGGAGGCCCAGCTTGGAGGTTCCCGGGCGCTGCTCCCTGCACGGGCCAGGCCTTCCCCATCAGCTCCAGGTGGGCAGTGCAATCCCCGCGGTAACTGGCAGCGGCCAGGGATCTGAGCGAGCATCCCTGATTCGCAGGCGAGGCCGGGCCATCTTTGGGCGCTTGTCTTACACGACACACTCATTTGTCTCACAGAGCCGGGGAGCCGTGCCGTGAGGATTCCGCCTTCGGGACAGAGGGACGCAAAGGAGAGCTGAGAGCTCGCCGCAAACCGACTGCCTGGCCGGCACAGACCTGGGCGTGGAGGGGACCAGGCTGTGAGGACAGCCGGGAGGCATGGCGCCGATGGGGGAAGCATGGAAGGAGCAGGAACAGTGCTAGTGGAGGGCGAGGGGAGAGCGTCGGACGCGTTAAATGCAGGCCTCTGGTGCCGGGATGAACTCAGCGCTTCCGTTAAACCTTGTGAGGCCCTTATGGGTCGGAGCTGCTGCCTGTTCCCTGCTCGGAGGCTGGCGTGGGAGACCTCCTTGCAGAAAAACGACCACTTTCCTCCAACGTGACTTTCCATCTTCAAAGGAACCAGAGTGCCAGAGCCCACAGGATGGCCAGCAGACTCTGCAGTGAGGCCTGGAGGATGCCCCCCCCCCCCCCTCAGCCAGCAGCTCAGCAGGTGGGAGGGTGGGGACAATTTCCTGACACCTCACACAGACATCCGCCTCTGTCCTCCCCGCGGGACCCCACGCGGGCATGCGCGGCGCTGGGCACCTGCCCTCCTGGAAGGCTCTGCGAGGGGGAGGGTCCGAGGGAAGATTCAGTGCCCCTTCTGGTGGCTTCCTGATGTGCAGCCCTCCTCCCCAGCTGCTGGTGGGCACCTCTGCCAACTGTTCTGATGCAAGAGGGAGGGAGGAAGGGCTGAGCCAGGCAGGAGTGTCTCGGGCTGCTCACCGGGAGGCTGGGACAGGGGAGGAGGGAGAGAGAGCTGTAGGGTCCCTCATGGGGGCTGTGCGGCTTGGGTGGAGCATCAGGTTGCTCTGGGGCTGGTCTCCTCACTGGTAACGCGGTGAGGAATGGCATCTCCCCTCCAGGGTGCGGAGAGAAGGGAGAACAGTGAGTGCAGAGCCACTGGCACGCGCCTGGCACTTAGTAAATGCTGAATGAAGACGGCGGCCACCCGGCCAGGGCTGTCCCTGGGACACAGGGTGACGTGGGAAGGAGAGTGAGGGACCACGTGGTGAGGGAGCAGCCGGCCTAGGTCCCCGTGCTCCTCTCCTGGGGCTCCTCCTGGTCCCAGACCTGCCCTTCTCCAGTCCTCCGTTTGCAGGTGGCCGTCCAGGATGTAAGCCCTAGAGGGTAAGGCCCACGATGGAGGAATGGAAGCCAGAGGGATGTGCCTGCGAAGCACTGCCCCACGGGCCTCCCAGCTGCCCCCCCCCCCCTTCCAGGGCACAACCTGGACAGCATGTGCAGATGTGTGGGAAGCTCAGCTGACAGGGGGATTGGCTGAGGTGGCAGCGGGTCAGGGAGGAGCCGGGACTGGAGCCGCCCACGCTGGGCCCCAGGTGATGGACAGAGCCATCTTCTCCCAGGCCCTCACTGGGTCTGCTGGGCAGTGTGGGTGGGGGGTGCGGGGGTGAGGGGGGCGGAGCTACATCTGGCAGGCAGGGAGGTCCCGGAGACCAGCCACGCGGGGGGAAAACGAACAAAGCCCACCAAGCAGCACTCAGGGGCGGGAAGGGGTCCTCGGAAGGCTGTCCAGGGAAGGTGGCATGGAGGCCAGGACTTGGGGGGTGGGTGGGGGCAGGCAGAATAGACTGGAGTCCTTGGCCTGCTGGGGGATGGTTATTCCACAGGCTCAGGAAAAACCTGGAAAATGGCTTGTTGGGGGGGGGGGGAGCGGGGTTGGGGCTGAGGCGGACAGAGGACTTAGGCACCCAGGGCGCTCTCCCCGCGGGCGGACAGGCACCCCGGGGACTGCCTCCTCCGCCTCCGGGCACAGCAGGCGTCCGGGCACAGAGAGTGACAGCGGGGTGACTCCGGCGGACAAAGGCGCCCTGAAGGGCGGGCGCGCGCTGAGGTGTAATGAACGGGCCTGGGCACCGAGGGTCAGGGATGGGCGCTCAGAGCCGGCGCCCGGGAGCGCCTGAGCCCGTGGTGGCTTTTCCGTGCCCAGAGGAGGGCGCGGCAAAGAGAAATAAGTTAGCAAGTCCTGGGCGCCCGGGCAGGGAGCCTGCGCGGAGGCCGTCCCCGGGGCGCGCTCCGGGCCCCTCCCCAGGCCTGGCCCCCGCCCCGGGGCTCCGGGCGCACCGCTCTCTCCGGAGATCGCTCCCGGGTGACCTTGGCCCGACCGCCGGACCTCCCGGGCCTCAGTGTCTGGGTCCCCGCGTCCGGGAGGCCCGGGGGCGGGAGGAGGGGCGGGGCCGGCGGGAGGAGCCAGGGCGCCGCCTCCCTGCAGACGGGCGGCCGCACCCGGCGGCGGCGGCGGCGGCGGAACGGGGGCGCGGGGCGCGGGGCGCGGGGCCAGCGCGCAGGCGCGGCGGGCGGGGCGGCGGCGGCTCGGAGCGCGGGCGGCGCGGAGCGCGGTGGCGGCGGAGCGGAGCGGGTCCCCGGACCGTCCGCCGGGAGAGCGGAGCGCGCCGCCCGCGATCGGAGCCGCCGCCGCCCCGGGGCCCCACCGCGCCGGCCGCGCCGCTCCCCTGCGCCCGGCGGGAGCGCGGTCCGGTCCCCGGCGCGGGGCACCGGGCGGGCGGCCGCCGGGACCGGAGCTGCTGCCCTGCCCGCGGGCTGCGTGCGCGGCGGGGCTCGGCCGCGCCCTCCGGGGTCCCGCGCCGCTGGGGCTGGGGCGCGGGCGCGGCCGGGGGCTGCGGGGCCGCGGGTGCCGGCCCGCCCGCCCTCCCGCCCGGAGTCGGCGTCCCGGGCCGGCGGCGGCGAGCATGGAGGACAAGTACCTGCCGGAGCTCATGGCCGAGAAGGACTCGCTGGACCCCTCCTTCACGCACGCCCTGCGGCTGGTGAACCGAGGTGAGCGCACCGGGGCTCCCAACTGCCGCCCGGGGGCCTGGGGGCTGGGGGTGATGGCCGGGGGTCTGGGGGTGATGCCGGGGGTCTGGGGTGATGGCCGGGGGTCTGGGGGGGTGATGCCGGGGGTCTGGGGTGATGGCTGGGGTCTGGGGTGATGGCCGGGGTGTGGGGTGATGGCCGGGGTCTGGGGTGATGGCTGGGGGCCAGGGCCCAAGGGAGGGAGGACCGCGCTCCAAATAGCCCTGGGGGACTGGAGGGGCCCAGGTAGCCAACTGGGGGCATGGGGGGGGGGACCTGGGAGGATGTGGGACACACAGGGAAAGCCCGGGTGCGAATCGAGGAGACTCTGGAGAGAAGAGGCTGGGCGTTCTGGTTTTGATGAGACTTGGAGGAAGTCCTTGGGGACCGAGGAGACCTGAGGGGAACTTGGGGGCGGGGTGCAGGTTCCTCTGGGGGCTCTGCTGGGTGGGGGTTGGGGGTCGCTTGGAAAGGAGGGGGAGGCAGGGAGCTGGTGCTTGGTTTGCCCAGAGAACTGGAGAGAGAGAGCCGGAGGGAGATGGAAGATCGAGGGGCGCAGAGGCAGAGAGGGGCGGGAACAGGTGCTGGGGTGCTGGGAAGTTTGGGGACCTTGGAGGAGGCTGGGGCAGACCCAGGAGCTTAGCGGAGGGCGCAGAGGCCCTCTCCTCTCCTGTTTCTCCGGAGTCTCTGGCAGCCCTGGGATCAGAGTGGGAGGGCAAGGGGGCAGTCTGCCCTCCTTGGGGTGAGCCAGTGAGGACAACCCTGAGACTGGCCGGCAGGAGGGAAGAGGCAGGTGCAGGATCCTGCCCCTGGTGGCTGCCTGCCCTCTTTTGGAGAAGAGCTGGGTGACCCTCAGGGGTGGCTGGCTCAGGGTTGGGAACATCGGCCACGTAAGCCGGGGCCATCAGCACCACCCTGGCCAGCTCAGGGCGGGCAGCCTGGGAGGTGGGGGGCGGTGAGGGGCACAGGGAGGCGTGCCCCCGGACAGCATCCCGGCTGGTCCCTCCTCTGGCTGCCCGGGAAGCCTCCCTTCCCCAGCAGCCGTTCTGGGCCCCTCCTGGGGTCTGGGATCGCCTTGCAGAGGAAGAGGGGTGTGGGGGCCATGGGTCTGCTTTCCCTCAGGGCAAAGGCGGGAGCCCTGTTCTGTCAGGGGCAGACCTGTCACCTCCCGGTGGCTCACTGGGCAGCGCCAGCCCGGATAGTGCCCGAGACAAACCCCGTCCACCGGCCTCCACGCAGGCTGCTTCCCTGCGGGAAGTGCGAGATCAGCAGACATGTTCTGTGTGTCCGGGTGTCTGCATGTGAAAGCCGTGACCCCCGTGCTGGCCATGTGCAGCCTCTCCTCCGAGGCGGGGCTGTGTGTGCCCCGATGGCAGCAGCCCAGGGCGACCCCCTGCCTCCCGGAGTCCGGCTGGAGTCGGGTGGTGGGACAGGGATGGGTGTGCAGAGCGCTCCCGGGGCGTTTTCACCTCAGGCTTGTGCTGCGTGAGAGGCAGGGGCTGGGGAGAGAGCAGCAGCGTGCGACCCCGTGTGAGGGGAGGATCCGGAGCAGGGTGCCCACTCTCCCTACACAGTGGGGTCTGCGGGGGGGCGGCGCCCCCTGCTCCTCAGGGCGCACACATGTTTTGTGCTGTGGAGGGCACGTCCCTGTCCGCGCTGGGAGACGGGCAGGGTTAGGGGTGTTCTGGTCTGGGGGGCGATGCTGGGCCCGGGAAGGAGCAGAGTGGAGCTCAGTGAGTTGCCCTGCATGTCCCCTCTCCGGCACCCTGTTGCCATAGCGCCATGCGCCCCTCCGTTCAGAGCGCCTTTGGTTCCTGCGCCGTTAGTTGCTAGTGCTACGGCCTCCGGTTCCGTGAGACAGGTCCCGGGCGGCGTGGCCACCGGGGGAACCTTGACAACCAGCGTGAGAGCTCGCTTCTCCATTGAAGACGCAGCTCTTGCTGGAAGCACATCTCTCACCGAGCAGCTGGGTGGCGGGAGGAGGGTGCCTCCTGTGTGTGTGTGTGTGTGTGTGTGTGTGTGTGTGTGCGCGCGCGTGCGCGCGCTCATCGCTGATTTCCTTCCTGCAGACGCAGGCTCCCCTCGGCCACAGGCTCCCCTCGGCCACAGCCCCCCCACCCCTCCCCCCCGCAGGCGGTCCCCGGAACGTGCCCGGTGTGTTACGTAAGCCCCGCCTGCCTGGCATTTGTCTCTGAAGCTGCCTGAGGTCTGAGCTCCCCGGCCGGGCAGCTGTGGTTTTCAGTCCGATACCATGTCTCTCTCTCTCTCTCTCTCTCTCTCTCTCTCTCTCTCTCTCTCTCTCTCTTGGTATCGGCGGGCTGGAGGGGGGGAGGGGGGCATTTTAATTCTCAGTGAGCTGTGTTTCTCTTTGTCTCCCAAGGAAACTTTCCTCCGAGGTCCTTCTGCTCCCCGACCCCGGACTCCGGCTCCGGCTCCAACTCGCAGGGTGATGGTGGGGTCACCGCCCGTGGGGAGGCGGCACAGGGACCTCTGACAGCGAAGGTCTCCCAGGGTGGTCCCTGCCTGTGTCTGCATGGCGCCTGGACTTTTCCAGCGCTCTGCCCCGCACACGCTCCCGAGTCCCGTTCCCAGGCTTGTGGGCCGGCTCTGAGGTCCCCACGTTCCCGGGGGGGGGGGGGGGAGCCAGGACCCGCCAGCTCTGCACGCCCATAGCAACCCAGGGGGATGGGCCGGAACTTGAGACCTCTCTGAGGGCCTTGTTCTCGCTGCACACGCCTCCTGGGAAGATGGAGCAGAAGGCTGTGCCCGAGTACCTTACGGCCTCCGAGGTCACTGCATTCACACCCGGGTCCCTCCGGCTGGCTTACCTGGGTTTCCCACACACAGACCCTCTCCCCGGGCTTGTCTCCTGGTCTCCTTCGGGCTGATTTCTCTGGCAAGGTTTTCTCTTTGGAGAAACCGTCCTCCCATGAGCACGCCCTCACGTCGGGGGTCAGCGCGGTGTGGCAACGGGACAGCCTGCTTTGTAACCAGGAAGCTTCGTCCACGTCGACCAGCTCTCTAGCCGAATCCCTCTTTCCCGACTCCTCTGTAAGGGAACACGTGGGCTGGGAGGACCTCAGAGCGGAGGGTGGCTTTTATGTGTTTCTTTTGTATTCTGTGCGCCCTCGCCCCGGGATAGTGCTCCCTTGGTTTTTGGAGAGAGCCAGAGGGAGGGAGAAGAGACGGAGAGAAACATCCATGCGAGAAAGAGAGAGAGAGAGAGAGAGAGAGAGAGAGAGAGAGAGAGAGAGAGAGAGAGAGAGAGACATGGATGGGCTGCCTCCCGCACGCGCCCCAACCAGGGCTGGAGATGGGGTCTGCAGCCCAACGAGGTGCCCTCGCCGGGAATCGAACCTGGGACCCTTCCGTCCACAGGCCGATATGTTCTGTCCACGGAGCCAACGCGGCCAGGGCCGGGTTGGCTTCTAGACCCTGTCCAGCTGGCCGTTTATAAGATGGGCCTTTGCTGCTGACTCTCATTTTTATTTTTTCAAGAAAACTGGTTCTCCCGCCCGTTTCCCCCCCCCCCCCCCCCAATATTGCATACTTTTGTTTCCTTCCCCAAAGTAACGGGTAACATAATGTTTACTTGATATAAAACCAAATGGAAGAAAAAGGGCTTTGCTGTTCCCTTCCCCATCCGCCGCCGCCTCTCCCCCCCACGCAGGCGCCTGCAGGGTGCGCTGGCCGCGGCCTTCGTGCCAGGAGGCTGATTGGCGACGGAAGTGCTGCTGGGCCCTGTGTGCTCCCGGGCCGTCTCAGGAAGGCCTTACGCATTATAATCCAATCCCGCGCCGTGGACGGGTTCCAGTACAAGCCAAGGAACCATTAAATAAGATTACGGAACGCTGTATGTTTAATTAGGGGATGTAACGTATGGATTGGCGGCTGGTTCGCTGCCAGGGGAGGCACAGTGGTGGGTGGGGGGGACCGTGGGGCAGAGGCGTGCGGGGAAGGCGGTCCCTGTGCGCCCAGTGATGGAGCCTGTGTCAGCTGGCGCCCGCTCCTCTGGTGCTGGGACTCCGGGTGACGCGCGGTGCACGGGAGGGCTGACGGGGTGTGCCCTCTGCCCCGCGCGCATCTCTGTGCCACCAACCCCGGCTTCGTTTTTCTGAGGCCCCCTTCTGGAAAACGCTTTGGGCTTGCTTGAATGTCCGTGGCTGTGTAACGTCTGAGAGAAGAGCGAGAAGGGAAGATGCAGGATTCTATCTCAGTGGGGCTCTTTCATACCAGAGTGCGAGCCTCTGCGACATACAGAGGAGGACGCCGCGGTTCCGTTTTTCATTGAGCTTCTTACGGTTTTCTGTTTGTTTTTAAAAATGTTTTTGTTGCTTTCAAAGAGGAAGGGAGAGGGAGAGAGATAGAAACATCAACGATGAGAGAGAATCAGTGATGGGCTGCCTCCTGAATTCCCCACACGGGGGATGGAGCACATGCCCTTGACAGGGAATCAAACGGAGATCCCCAGGTTCATAGGTCCACGCTCAGGTTCATAGGTCGACGCCCAACCACGGAGCCACACTGGCCGGGCTGTTTCTGGCACCTCTTGTCTCCCCGGGACAGAGGGAGCTGCTGGAGGCAGGGCCTCGCCCTGTGTCCTGTCTGTGGCCCTGTCAGCTGACTGTCTCATTAGCATAAAGGAAGAGGACTCAGTGTCCCGGGAGTCCAGCCCTCAGGGGAGCCTCGCCCCTTCGGAAGGTGGAGCACCTGAGTTGGGGGGAGTGGGAGGGGGTGGGCTCTGCTTGGCTCCCAGGCACAGGTGCCAGCAGGTCCTACGTGAGGTGCAGCGTGAGCCCCGTGGTAGGGGGGAATGGCCTTTCTCCGGGAGGGACTGAGGAGCGGCCGTCAGGTCTGCTTTGATTCAGAGGTCTGTTTCCTTTTATCCTGTCCCGGGGAGCGGGAGCCGGTGCCGCTAATGCAATCAGCTCTCCTTCCCGGCGCCCCTGACGAGGGTGCTGAGGGCAGATCAGAACCAGAAC